CCCTAGGCACCACCAAAGCTGAGAGCATGACCCATCACAAGCACTGAAAGACTAAGGATCATCCTGCCTTAAGCACCGCCGAACTTAGAACACTACTCTATTAAGCTACCGGATTTTTTATGTGTTTATTCCGTTAAGTTTTTAGTTAGAAATTTTGGGAGAAAAGTAAAATCGTTTTTTTTATATACCGGTTTGAATTCATGTATATAAGGAGGCAGCACCGTTGTATTTCACAAAAAAATACTGCCATTTACAATGACTGTTATGAATAGTGAGCATGAAGTTTAAAAATAATGTAAATTATTTCATTTAAATTAGTTTGTCGTGTTTTTTTTTTTTTTCATGGGCCATGCAGAGTGCAGTTACAAATGAGGCGGTATATTCCGCCTTAAATAACATAGCCAGAAGTAGTGACACACAAAAAAGTGTAGTTTTGACACTTTCTTGAGATACTCTTCAGAAGGGTCAACTCTGCCTACTAATCCACTAAACTGTAGCAATTGATCGGGTTAAAAGTTGTAATCGACGCCTAACCCTAGTCTGCTCACATCTTCCAACCACACATATGTTAGAGCTTCGGGCGTGCTTGAGGTGTCCCGGCAGATAATTCCGCGATTAAGTCCGCCGCAAACAAATGCCTCTTTCGTTCAATGTACGACCCGTGGGACGGCAGCTTTTCAACTGCACCCCGGGAAATAACGCAAATCTCGAGTCTCCAAGTGTCCTTTTGAATTGTGACACTCGACTCGGGTTCCATCGTGGCGCGACAGTGACTGCTCGTAGACGGTGGCGCCTCCAACGCGTGCTCGTTGCCTATACCCCGCGCGGCTGTGTTTCTCGATCTTTCTACGAAGCAAAAAGTTTGGAACCTTGACATTCGTAACCTACCCACGTCCAGCGTTGCTCTGTATGTATTTTTCGTCATTCCACCTGCGAGAGTTGTTCAAAACTCTGGTACAATCGTGTACCGCAGTGGTGATTGGCTTAGGCAACATACCGCCATGTTTCTTTTTTTTTTTTTTTTTTTTATTTGCGTTTGAAGACGCTTTTACGAGGCGTTTGTACGTTCCACGGTTCAGCAATCACCTCGGGACGATATTCACCAGTGCCAGTAATGGATCAAATCTACACGAGAGGTATTTTTCGTTCCCCTTATTATCAGACTGCTCTTCGTTCGTTTGCCCATTGAATATATGTAATGGGATTGAGATAATCGGGGCGCTATTCGCCTGTGCATGAGAGGGGATCTGTCCCTCATTTCCAGCTCTTGCGCAAAGAACGTTGGAGCCCCATTTGGCCCTGAACTTTACGTATAGCGTCGTACTCGGGTAAGCCGAAATTAATTATAAACTAAGATCGGCTGCTAAACTGGATGTTTACTCCAGCCCGGCCGTGGTCTATGGAAAATGTTTCGTCTAGGAGCCGCACCGTGGCGCCACTGTCTCGTCACACGCTTCCAATGCGGAATGCATTTTCGTTTGCTTGTTGGGCGCGGGTTCCGATGACGTCAGAACGCCAAGCTGTGATTGGCTCCAATCAGGGCCGATCAGAACTCGGCGTTCTGATGTCGCCGCAACCCCTGCGGAACAGGCAGGCGAACTTACGCCCCGTATAGTCGCAGACAACTCAAAGAGCGCGGGGCTTCGGCTTAATATATTCACGCTTGCTGCTTCGGGATTTGTCCTTCGTCAATCTTGCCACCGAATGAAACGATATCATTGGCTGCGAAGTCATAATAACTTGAGACTCCCCACGCCCTCCGTTTATTAAGCTCTCGGGGACAGTAACAAAAACAAAAAAGGTCGTGCTGGAGGCGCAGCATCCGTACTTCATCCTGAACATGTCACCGACCATACACCTGCCGTTGTAGACCCTCGTTACCTACGTCATTTATTTAGAATGTTCAAGAATCTCTTCTTTCGCGTGACTTCATCTTTCTTGTATTCTTTGTGTTGCTTGTCGCTACACCTTCTATGGACACCAGCCACGCGCTGGTTGGAAACCAGTGTCGGCGGTAACGCGTTAAGAGTAACGGCATCACCTCGGTCACGGGTTGCTTTTTTTTCTCTAAAACGTAATACTCACTACATTTACAAAATAGCAACGGATGACATACTTGCGTTATTTATTTTAAGTAACGGGTAACGCAGTTACGTTAATTGTTTCTTATATATTTTCTCCAAAACATGAAAAGTACATTTATTTATTTTTTCTCGATTTTCTATACTTCGTTTTACTTGAACTCCCAACGCAGCCGACGCTACGAGCTTAGGGAATCAATGAGACAGCGTCAAAAGGGAGCCATCATGGAGCTCGTCATGTTTCTGTACGTGTTCTAGAATCACTGGACCAATCATAAAGGAAAAAAGGCCCAGTGACTTGCGGTTTTTACACTGCTTGATTGCTTCCATTAGCTCGCAGCGTCCGCTCCGTTTGAACTGAAGCTGAAACGAAGTATAATGTGCCATTGGTCTAGGTGACATACGCTGCACCGGACTAGCTTGTTTTTAATATTTTTGAGGAGTCGCCAAGTCATTAATGAATGCACTAATTCCACATACCCTAAAAGTTTAGCCTGTCTTTTCTTCACGAAAAAAAGTCCCACCTCGGAAAATCCCCACCGCCCACGCCTCTTGTACCAATATCAATATTATCAATGTCAAATATGGCTGTCGCAAAAAAATAGGAAAACAAAAAAGCTGTTATTGTTATTTTATATGTAAAAGAAACGCCAGAGTAACGTCGTTACTTTTTATTTGTAACGGTAAAGGTTTTTTTCATTTTGAGGTAACGTAGGACAGTAACGCGTTCCTTTATTTTGCAGGTAACAAGACACGTATTTCGATACTTTTTTGTGCGTAACGCCAACAACACTGCTGGAAACTGACTTTGGAGTGTTCTCTCCACCGTCCTATAAGTATGATGTTGCTTTTGAGAGTCGATGCTTAACACTTGCTTTGAAGGAATGTAACTACGCTTCAAAGGTACTTTTAGTTTTTTATTATATATAAAAATAAAATCTAAGCATGAATCACGAACTCCCAGTCGCGCATGTAAGAGCTGCTTTGAAATGCCTGCAAAAGGCTGAATCTATTGCACCAACACAGGAAATGCAGATTCGCTTCTTCTCACGTAAGCTCAAGTGTAATGAATGGTACTCGCTTTCAAATGGTTATTAGAACGTTTATTAGATTGAATTTTCGAGCTTTTTTTGTTTTGAAGGCCTTACTGTAATATTGATAGATAAATTACAGGAGGAGGCTTAATCTTCGCCTTTAAGAGTCGAACGCGATAGCTAGACATATGAATTCTCGCTTTTTCTCTAGTGCAAGTGTGCCTACTTGGACTAAACAACAAAAAAAAAAAAAAAAAAAAAAGTCTGCGTGGCATGTCGGTAACGTGTCTGGCTACCAACCGGGTTCGAATCCCGCCGCCGCCCTAAAATGCCTCAAATCTTTTCTTTATGAGAAGTGAAATACTTTATGAAGTGAAATCATTGGAGACATGCGGCGACTTTTTTTCGCATTACATGTTTTGATCAGTTTCATTCCGCGCGTGACGTCACGTTCCTCGTAAGCTTTGTGGGTTGTTGGAAATTCCCGTGTGAGGTCATCTGGCTGTGACTTCATGACCCTATTGACCAATCAGGATTATGCCGTTCCACCGACGCCAACGCCGGCTTTTCTGCGACACGAGATTTATTATAAAGCTCTCGCTTTATAATAAAATTAATTCGATATTGCATATTGGAGGTTATTACGTAGACTGGTAATCGGAGAGGAACACCTAAAATGCATGAAACAATGACGTATTAGAAAAAAATGGGGAAAAGTTTGGCGAGTTGGTTGTGCATGTTTCACGGAAAAGTAAAAGCAGAACCAAAAACAGGTAGGACAGGAATACGAAGTGTACAAACAGAGCGCTGACTTTTCAACTGATTTATTGGAAGAAAACGCAAATCGACAAGCATCATATATTTTTATGATTCCTGACGCTTGTCGATTTGTGTTTTCTTTCAATAAATCAGTTGAGAGTCAGCGCTCCGTTTGTGCACTTGGTCTTCTTGTCCTCCATTTTTGTTTTGTTTTTATGGGCGCTGTTTTTACTTTTCCTTTAAAGAAGACCTATTAGATGTCATACTTTTCTGTACCATATCGTCATTTATTTGTTGTTTTGTGTACATTTAGCTCTACAATTCTTGTCCAAAATCTGGGAAGCTTTTTTAAAGTCGTACCTTTATTTTATATGCTGAGCAAGAACATAAATTGTGCTTGATCGTTTTGTGCAAATAACATTTCTCACTGCCCGGATTCAGTGAACCTCAAAGTGGAAGTCTTCCCAAGACGCAAAGCACAATTAAACCTATTTTATTTCGCTTGATTCAATCTAAAAAATATATTCTACATGATTACTTGTAAACCCATTTATCTCGTAAAATAAAGTCATTGCAGGCGTGAGAAGCAAATGGAGACATACTCTCTTTCTCTCCCATTTAGTAGACGAAGGCGAGAAATACTCTACGTGCCTTTCTGCATGAAGTCCTTGACCAACCACACAAAGACACAAATTTTGTGGAATTAACAATGGGGCATATATACAACCTCGTCTTAGGTAGCTCAAAATAAACACCTTCAACCGACAGCACGCATTTTGCGTATATAGCAGAGTTACTATTTAGTTCACATTCGCCAACAGGGACCACGACACAAACCTGTTTCTTATTTCCTCTTCATCTGTAACGTATCCATGGCTTGCACGTAGCGTCAGTCCTCCCCTCTTTCTGGTGGCCCGAGGTGCCTCGTTAACGCAGCGGAAGTTACGCTCTCACGCGCCTTTTTCCCCCATTACGTCTGACCAAGTGACGTCAGTGCGAGCAATAATACGCTCCTGAAGTACCGATCTCAAAATAACGTATTGAACTTGCATCAAAATGAATAGTTAGGTGAGTTGGTACATCGATAAAAAGAATAAGCGCCTCAAAGAGAGGGACGGAGAAAAAGGTGGCACCGACAAGCAATCCAGTTGTACTCGGTATCGTCTCGTTATTTCTCCCTGTCCTTGAGACGCTTATTCTTCTCTTTTTTTTCCCTTTAATTGTGTTTTGCTTTTGACGCTATACATAGCTTGTTTTACATCGCTCTCTTGACCATGTTAAGCCTTTTCTTCGATTCAACCTCCGCACTTTTAGGGTTAGCTACATAATATAGATGAAAGTAAGATCAGCTGAGAGGAGGGTTACAAGTCGGCGTACACATCGTATTGCGAAACTTCCAAGCTGCGTTCAGCCCAAAACATCCTCGCGGTCACGCTCCGAACACGTCTGACCTTGATCGGCACCCTTTTCTTTCCCAAAAATGAATGTCGCCACCCACCAGTAGCAAATCACCGATCGCGCAAGCTGTGGGCGAAGTTCGCTCCTCCACTCGTGGCGGGCGCTCTTGGCCCACTCGAGGGCACGGACTGTCCTCCCACAGCGCATCGGTCAGGGCGTCTGGTACGGGCGGATAACGGAGAGGCAGAAGAAACAGTTCCAAGTTTGCTATCCGCTTTCACGTCTCACCGGTTCCTCTCAGTGTCCACCCTCGCCCGACTCTTTTTTCGGTCGTCCTGCAAGTTTCGTAAGCCGTTTCGAGTCCCTTCGACGTCGCTGCCAGAAGAGAAAAAGGGATAAAGAGTTTAGATTTAAGAGAGGTATCAAGCCGACTCACCGAGGGCGTTTGCAATGGAATGGTGGACGTGCTCCTGGGCAAATTAGTCGCAAGTGCGCGTGTGTCGCCTCCTCGCGTGGCAAGGAGGTATGCGGCCCGAGAGGTGGAGAGGTTCTTCTGTCGATTAACGAGTTCCTCAACTCCCCGCAGCTCGTGTTGCAAACGCGACCCATAAATCACGTGACCCCACGATTGAGCAGTTGGAAACACTCTGTGATTTTGGCACCCTGAAGAGGGCCGTGCCCGCGGATTGCACCACGGCCTTCCCGCTCGTCGACGGGCTCCGGGAACGGATGAAAAAAGAGGCGCAGATGTCGGGCTCTAGTTTTTATCTCTCTAAAAGCGTACAAATGAAAAAAGAAGAAAATGGAGGGGAGGTCAATTCGGATGGGGCAGCCATGACCATGTATCAGGGAAAGATGTGATCGCGTGGAGAGGCGGCAGCTATGGCTGCTCGCTTTAAGAGTCTTCTTTAATGTCTCACCGATAATGTTTTCTTGGGCCGGAAGGGTATTTTGTTTTTCGAAACTTTTGTACGTTTTGAAAAATTCGCCTAGTTACTGTCCTGTGTGGGCGTGTAAGCCGGGTGATATTCCGTACAAGGCTGTTCTGTGTGCGGGCAGACGACGATTATGAAAATACGTATCTATAGTAAAATTGAATCCAGAAACACTTTGGTCACTCCTTGAAACGAAGACAGTTTATTTCAAGGACAGAGAGAAAACGAAAAAAGTGATCCAATTAAAAAATTGCAGGGTAAGAGATAAGGGGAATCGGTAATTTAAACAAGTTTCAGTGGCACTCAGGGAATTTATTAAGCGTAAGGTACATGCTCGTCCCCTTACATGTACGTGTAACTTTAGCACATTTGCCCTAAAAATAGTGTTTTTTTCTTCTTCTTTTTTTTTGTGATTGAGTGGTATCGCATCGTTTAAGAATCCAAGCAATCAGTCGGGTAGATGAGCTAGTTTTGGACATAAACTCGAGTAATTTTTTTTATTGTACATTGGAGTATGAGGTTTGCAGGAGAAACTCCTTCCCTAATTTGCTTGAGAAAATGATTCACCTAATTCAAACGCGACATATTTCTGGAGTCATAAGAGGGGGCTTCGTGAAACATGAGCCTTATAATCAGGTTCGGCTGTTTGGACGTTAACAATATCTAACATTTCATTTTAGGCTTTACGGATTAGTTTTAAAACTGCCGTGAAAACTACACTAATGCGATCTGTGCAGATGGGTTAAACGGCCAGGGAAACGTGATATAGTCGTCTAATCGTCACGAAAAGTCGACTAATGAACTAAAATATATTCATTAACTTTTTGCTTAGTGCAAATGAACTTATGGCTCCGATAAAAACTTGAACGTCATCGACACGCTCTAAGTAAGTCCGTTTTTGAACAATTTGTAGCACGTGGGAAGCATGGTGGACCGTTTAAGTCGTGCAGCGGGCTCAAGGCTACCAGTGCGATAACACGCCCCAAGAATTATTCCGTCTTATATCATCCGCATATTCTCACCGCAAGCCTTGTGCCTATTGCACGACTGGTAACTTTAGAGCACTACTGCGCTTCCCAAGCGCTCAAAGTCTTTCAACAAATTGCTGATTTACTGGTCTTAGATAAGGCTCAGCAAGTTCGTAATTAGAACCAACTGTTTATTTTAGAAATTTAAAACAAATTATTTAACAGCTTCACGATTAGCCCCCTTATATTATGTTCCCCTGACCTTAGAACTTTCCTACGCAGTCCGCATTTGTGGCGCTTCCAAGACTTAAAAAAATATTTAAATCAAACAAAAACACCCTGTATACTATGTAAAGTTGTCTGATCGATGGTTTTTATCAGCTGCCGCTGTGCAGTCGTTTCCCAGAATATAGCCACTGCACACACCAGTTCCTTTCGGCGTGGGCTGTGGTGTTCATTTTATGAACGTATAACTCCCTGCATATATTATTTAATACTGATACAAGCATACTGTAGACGTTCCTGTGGAACAAGCGGATTGCAAGCCGTCAAAACTTGACTGTCTTTCATCCATATATGCGTCGCTCAGCCCCAAAGGAACTGGCGAAGATCCCTGGAAAAGCTGCAGGTTGTAAAGCCGGGTCTATGGTCGATTTGCCCTTGTGACCAGACACAAATGTCCCCTTTTAAATGTTGTTACGCATAACTACAGTCACCACACTGTTTTCTCGAACGGCTATTCTAGAAGAAGTGAAGCGTGCGCGTACATAGCTTTTATTGGCGCTCAAGATCCGCAAGCGTAAGTGCTCCCATAGCTTTGACTGCACACAGCCGCAGAATGTTGTCTGCTAGTGCGGGAACTGTGGTTAAGCGTAACTGGAGTTAATTGGGACCGGGTAGCGAAAGTATAACTACGGCAGAGATGGTGCTACCCCCTAACTGTACTTAAGTGTAACTTCAGCTTAAGATGCCCCTCTCGTATTCACGAAGGGTGACGTCCTGCGCAAGGTTTATCTTCTATACTCGTTTTCACCTCAAGAATCGTAGTAAAAAAAGTTCGGCTTCTCGCGGAGCATTACTAATTTCCGTCTTTATGCTGAGAATTGAGGTATATGTAGGTGCATTTCATATTAGATCTATGTTACCCTATGAAGACGTACACGTTTCAAACGCCAAAAGCATCCCTCCTGCACGTGACGACCTAATTTTGTGAGAACTATTTCGCGCGGCGTAGGAACATGGAGCAAAACTTCCCTTTTCCTTGAGGTGAAAACGGGTATAGTTCGTATGCGGAGCGCAAGTTCGTCTGCTTCTTTTGCAGGGCGCTTGTGGTAAGTCACAATGCCGAGCTCTCATTGGCTCTGAAGGATAGTGGGTAGACCTCAAGGCAGCTTGCTTTCAGGTCTACCCACTACACCTCCATCAGAGCAAATCAGAACTCGGCGTTCTGACGACACCACAGTCCCTACAAATAAGCAGACGGATCTGCGCTCCACATTGAGCAGGGACCGCATGAAATGTCTCGTGCACTGTTTCCTGCCCCCCATGAGCGAAGGTTACGGCGTGTCACGCATGCGCCGAATGCTTAGTCAGATCGGTTTATTTTGGTTTTAGTTGTGAAAGCAGAGGCGGGATTTTCGGTTCCCACTTGTACAATGCAGAGTCGAAAAAGTTGCGGCAGAAGAAGGCTACAGGTATTTCGAACGATAGCAACTGTGGAACGCTTTTGTGTGCAACACACTATAGAAACACAGAACAATTACAGGCACTTCCGTCGCTACTCCTCAGAAAAAGCGAAACTCTCTATTGACGAGGAGATCGAAATACGGAAGACGCGTTTTCATTATCATCATCATCACCACAAGCAATCGCTGTGTGGCAAACCTTCGACGCCATCACCTGCCAAGTGTACGCCGTATCGTTTCCGCGCTCGCAGCAAATTTGTTTATAGAGCTATGGTGCGCACTTCCTGCGTACCGCAGTGCTCCAAGCATGCTTTTGAATCTGGTATATGCAGCGCGGAGTACCGCACTACGTACGCGACGATGCGAACACTGTCCGCCGTCGGCTCTTGTGCAACGCTGCACTCGATGACATGACCGCAGTTGAGCAAGTCCTCTCCCTCAACGAGGCAGTGCTTGCTTTCGCCGATGACGTCCATGATTGTCGCAAGAGACAGGGCAACTGAAAAGTGATGTGCGTGATTTGACAACCATTCAGAAAAAGACGGACGCCGCGCCGGCGACGTAATATCCAGCGCGCGGGGCCGACACGACGGGGCTGGCCCGGCACGCAGGTATTTCCAGGGGAATGGGGTATCATATCAAATGTATGAGAACCTCTCTCCCCCCAATCTCCTTGCCCTAAATGTTTACACATGCGCAATTCAAGAGGGAGGTCAGGAACTCGGGACACCCCTCTCTGAGTCAGCCACTACCACACATGCGCTTGTTTTGCCTTCCGAGAGAACTTCGATGACATTGAACGCAAGAGGGGATTAAATTACTTTAATTTAGACGGGTTTAGGAGAAAAGAAGAGTGCTACAAATATCTTTCACGAGCCTAGCGCCGCTGTCCTCTATGGCAACGAATGCACAAATCACTGCGGTCGAAAGGTTTGCTTGCCACACTGCGTTAGTTCACGAGGTGGCCGCTATGGAGTGCCACTCCTCGAACTCCTCGCCAATAAAAAAGCGAGAAAATCGAGCCACCTACGGGATAAAAAATAAGGAAATGTACACACGGATATCAATAAAGAAAAACAAAATGAACTAGCCGGTGGGAACGAGGTGGCGAGTTGGGAGGAGAAAATGAGGTGGAGGGGATTCGATTATCTTCGCATTGACCCCTGGCTTGCTAATCGCAGTGCCCGGCGCGGTCACTCGCGCCATCTGGTATCGATTGTGTGAGACACTGCTGCCGCTCCTGCTGGGGACAGCCGTCGTCGCTAGCACTATACCTCCCCCTTCCCCCCCCCCCCCCCCCTTCCACGCATCATAAAACACCAGACTGACGTCCCGGCAAGCGAGAGAGGGCGCTCGCTACCTTGGGTCGCGCCGAGCGGAATAATAATAGAAACGCAAGCACCAAAAAGGGCAGTCACGTGGGGGGGTTGGTGTGGAAATGAAAGCGACGATGTGATGAGGACGATGCGAGACCCAGCGGAGGGCTCTCAGTGCCCTAGTTTTTATTTTATTTTTGACGAGCTGGACCAGGACAAGAATCCGTCTCCCACCCCACCCCCTCTAAAAAAACAAAAACAAAAAAAGAAAAACGAACGAAACGTTTTGCGGACAAAAAGGGAACAGAGAGAAGAGAATTTGATAGCAGTTATTCTGACTGTCAGCTGCTCTTCATTGTTTTTCCTTTGTCGTTGTTGTTCTTTTCCTTGTTTTTGAAAGACGTATCTCAGAGGGAGGCCCCTCCGAGATGCGTCTTTGACATGGTGCTGACGGGGCGTGAGTCTTGCAGAGAAGCCTGACGCGCACGATGGTCTTCGTTCTTTATTATTATTATTATTATTATCATTACTATTATTATTATTATTTAGACATTCCTGCTCTCTCCGCAGGTTGTTTAGGCTTGTCGTCACAGCTCTCGTAACTGCCAGTTCCGGTTTCTGCTTTTCGGGTAAAATTACTGTGTCGAGGGAATCGTGAATCAGCCCTTCATTCTCAATTCACTCGCGACCCAGCAACTTTCTTTCGTGCTTTGCTGTGCACAGCAACGGTTCTCACGTCACGTGAAACCAAAGCTAATAAACTGCGCCGTCTGTTGACTGTATAGTAGAGCGTAATGCAATGAGGCCCGTTGAACGGTATTATTAAAGATACGACTAGATGAAAGTGAATTTATCAGTCTAACCTCTCGCGTACATTGATGTGTAATCTTTTCATTCTCGTGTGAATTTGTTTATCTCCAGCGTTAAACTTGACGTTTCTGCCAAAGTAAGCATAATCTACCACATTTGTTTTTTGATAATGCAGGAAAATGGCGACTTAATAAATTAATAATCGAAGCTCAGATTAAATTCATAATACTGAACTGTAGACGTTGAGAAACATGATGTTTAGAATAAGATATGACAAATTGCGTTTTAATATTTTCTCAGTGCGCTATTATATAAACAATTGTTTAGTGTTATATTTTATAGAAAGCTTTTGATTATTCTTAAGAAATAAGAACCCTCTGCACTGCCGACCCCCCACCCCTTGGCATTTTTACTGGAATTCTGCTTCAGAATGAAAACCGGCTTTCCCAAATAATGATGAAAGAGCTGCAACCGACAAGTCCGTGCAACTTTCGCGGCGAATCAAAATAATCAATTTACGAAATTATTTTTCGAAAGACGAAGTGGCCTAGCAGTTCTTCCCAGGTGACTCTGCTGGCGGCAGTACGTCTCGCTGCCCAGTCTTTCTGCGCCCGCACGTATGTATCCACGCAAGTGTGCATGTACGCGTGTTCGTGGGCGCCGAGCCCGTGTGCACACACGTATATATTACGTACAAAAGAGGGGAGAGGCGGCGGCGGCGCACGCAATCAAAAGAAGGGACACCGTTTTACAATCTACCCAATTGGATCAGCACAATAGACCGTTTTTACAGCTCCCGCGGCTAGGGCCGTCTTTTATTGAAATTTACCGCGAGCCCCACGCGAAAGGAATTGCAACTGTCGCACGTTTTTTGTTTTTTTTAGTTATTTTGTTTTTATTCTTGTCTTAGTTGTAATACTGCTAAAGAAGAAAGTGACGGAATAAAATACTAAATAAAATATAAAGCACTACCATTCAAAGTAACACAAAAACCGTCCCCTCTTCGTGTATCTGGTTTAAGTTGCCATTGCGCGTCTCCTTGGCTCTTTACTCCGTGGTCCGTTTCACTCTGGGATAAACCGCCAGGGACGCCCAAGAGGTGCCCCGCCCAACCCAGCGCTGTGAACGTACCACGTGTTAACGTGACTCCGATAGCAACTGCTCCCCCGCTTAAGGTCACGTGATACTCGAGCGTCATTTGATTGGCTGCGGAAACTCTTAGCGACCACTGCGGACCGTCGTACACGAGGACCGAGTCCGGGAGGTTTCGCCTCCGAGTTGTAGTAGTCCGGGTTTGCGGTTTACCCCCCGCAAATTTATCGGGTATTATCCAGCTCGTAAAATAAAAGAGAAGGAAGACGGCTCTTGGCAAGGTCACCCCCCCGCATGTGCCGTCATTTTACGAGCACGAAACAAGCGTTGCTGCCAGGGGCAGGACACATCTGCACTCTTACCAAGCTAAAATTGCGTGTGTCTTTTTTTTTTGTAGCTTATTTTAGGGGGGGGGGGGGGGGTAGGAGGGGTGTTTTTCGTCTTGCTCCTCGTATAAAAACGATTGTAGAACCTTTTTTTTTTTCGTTTTAGGGCGCGTATTGTCGGTGGGGGATGGCAGTCAATGCGTTTTCGAGAATGCTCTAAGGGGTGCGGCTGGATTTTCGCCTAAGAATATGTATATATATATATCGTTTCGATATCACATGATGGCTATAAATGGCCATTAGCTATATATTGATGACTAGTGTAAAATTTCTGAGAACTGCTTTGTAGGCAGTATCGTACTCGTATCGTCGTCTAAATCGTTTCGCCCTGGGTTATTCACTGCGAAATGGAGTAGGAATTTTCTAATATCCATTTGAACGTTAATTAAACTACTCACTTCTTTTGATTATAAAGACCGATCGGTTTCATTGAAATTAATATACCGAATAGAAATTTAGATTATCACAGGCGTATCTCTGCCTTGGATTAAGGACATAAATCTCAAGTCGCAGTCTCTATGACGTATTTGGGCCATTTGCTGTTCCAAGGCTTGTTGGACTGTTATATATTCTCTAATGCCAGAAGCTGATTCACTCTGAACCTAGCTAGATTGGTTGTTGATGCAATTTTAAAATATAGAAGTGATACATGACAAATGTAAAAAAAAAAAATAGGTCTATGAATTTTCTCTTTTTCACGGCATTTTTTTTTTATATATATATATACTACATACCTACTTTCTGCGCGCTAAAATGAAGCTGAAACAATTTTATTTAACTTTTAATAAAGCTGAAATATAAAAAAAAGAGATCAATACATCAAGCGAGTATTTGCTTATTTTAAGCCCCGTCTGCATTTCCTTTTTATTATTGCACCAGAGTAGCACCTGTCAAAACTCGAGGCTCTTACACCCTGTTTTCATCTAGGCAAAACGTTCGAACTTCCTATGGCAAAATCGTGTAAGGTATTTTCAATCTTAAGATTCAAGGCTAGAAGAGCCGTTGCCCCTTTACGGATCGACACAAGACGCCGAAATCGCGTATCGATTGAAACCGCCAGCGATCTGCTCGATGCCTAATGCAGATCCACTTAGGTTTAGCGCGTGGGCAAACATAGCGCCTGCATGAATATCCGTTTGGCGTGATACATCTGCCCTTTGAGTAGCTTCAAAGGAGTCGGCGTTCTGCTACGCGTGGTTCCAGCCAGCAACTCGGTTGCGCGTCTCGCGTCAACATCGCATCCGTGTCCTAGTCGCATCCAAAAAGACGCTATACTTCGTCTCACCCTACGATGGACTAAAGGCCAAAGCCACGGGCCGCAAGGTCCAATCAGGTTGCAAGCTAAAATATGACACGCTTAACATTGGTTAGGGGTGGACGAATGATCCTCCGAGTACAAAAGCGCAGGATCATTTTTATAGCTTCGGCACTGCAAAAAGCCTGTATGACATAGCTTTCTTTGCAATGTAAAATTGTTGAGTCACTCAGTGCTATTCAGTCCAAACTACCGTCCGCCCCTCGCCATTAGTGATTCGAGACGCGGGTGCCGATACGCGCATTGAAGCGAAATACGACGCAACTTGTAAGTGGCTCGTGATTGGAGCTGGCGGCCCGTAGCTTCTGCCTTTAGTACACCGTAGGGTGAGACGAGGTATAATTAGATTTTTTTTTTCTCTATTTGTTTAGGGCGGTGTGCGAGCCTCAGAGACCTATGTTCTTTTATGGGCAGATGGAGCTTACTTATTTTCGTTTATATTGCCTACCTAAAGATAAACGCCATTAGATTGTATTTTTGTCTAAAATGTTTTAATTTTATTAATACGTGCGTCTTGAACGTAAAAGGGGCACTTATCAATGGTAGTTTCGTGTTCGTTGATGCTCATGAGAGGAACCAAACAAAGTTGTATTCCGCTTGCCAAACCTTTTTTTTAAATTTATATTTGTATATTTTTTACCCTCAGCCTTTTACGTTTCTTTCGCATTTCTTTCCTCTTTTGAAGAAACAATAAATAAAAAGGAAAGGGCGGTTTGTGGCCAAGTTTGTTGAGTGTCCCAGTTCGGAGCTCGTGGAGCGAAAGCTCGCATTGCTTATTTTAGGTAACGAGTAAGTACTCGTTACCTTTACAAAACAGTAACGGGTAACGTACTTACGTTACTTATTACGAGTAGCAGATAATGTAGTTACGTTACTCCTTACATATTCTGCCAAACACTGAATAAAATTACTTCAATTTTTTTTTGTCTTTTTAAGAGCAAATCCATTTGGATCTTTTTGTGTGTGTGTTTCTGTTTTTTTGTCGTGAGCATTTGTGTGAAACGGTAAGAATATAAGGTAATTATGTAAAGCTTCGGCATGTTAATAAGGATTCTTGAAATAATTGATACTTGATACTTATCTGAGCTCAGGAGGGCCGCGACGCTACAGAAAGGCAAGTCGCCCATGCCATGAAGGATTGAGGCGCCACTTCTGTTGATGATGAAATAGTATTTATTGTACAGATGAATTGTGTGAAGGATGATGATGATGATCATCATCATAATGTGTTGGATGGTGATGATGGGATGGTGAGAAGAGTGAAAAGCGTTAGGCCTAGCAGCGGTCTCCGCGATGGTGGCCATCGCGGGGCCGCCGTGGGCTGCTGACTTCTAGCAAGCCGGTCTCGAACGCCTGGCGAGAGCTCCCTGCGTGCCAAGCTTGTAGACGAGCCGGCCGAATTTCCGACGACACAGACAGTCCAGCACCTCAGTGGTGGGCTTCCAGGGGTTCGCGCAGGTTGTTGGCCGGGCGGTGGTCTTCGCGAAAGCGTGCCTTGGAGTCCCCCAACTTGTGACCGAGCTTGCAACCGAGCAGCGTAAGCACCCTGTCGATCGAAGACATGGTATGCGCCACTGGTCCGGCTGGCTTTCTGACAATGAAAATACAAAAACACAAAAAAGTCTTGCGCCCTCCCCCCTCCCCCCCAGTTAGCTTTATCTTCCTTTTAACGGACACGCATAAGTAAAAAAATGGCTTAGCTTACCTGGCAATGCAGGTACGCTTATGAGTACCTGCATTGTCAAAACAGTAAAGCGTGTTAGTTCATGATTTAAAAAGTAACGCAGAAGTAACGTGCGTTACATTTAATGGTAACGGTAACGCGTTCCTTTTATTTCGAAGTAATGTAAGACGATAACCCCTTCCTTTTATTTGCAAGTAACGATCGAGTAACATATTTTCTTACTCTTTTCGGTAACGCCTACAACACTGCTACTGCGTGATGCGCGTTAAACCGCAGGTGAGTAGTCGTACTGCACTGGCTAAACGTGTCATCTACGGTGTGTAACGATGTCGCCATACTCTGGCAGACTAACCTCACGCTGCCAGAACAAACACACAACCAGTGTTGGTGGTAACGTGTTACAAGTAACGGCGTTACCGGTATGCGTTATTTTTTTCGGTGACGTTGTAACGTGCTCGTTACATTCTCAAAACAGTAACGGGTAACGTAATTACGTTTCTTATTTGAAGTTACGCGTAAAATAATTATGTTACTTATTTTAAATAATGCGTAGCATAGTTACGTTACTCGTAACATTTTCTAAATCAAAACCTAAAAAAAAAGTATGCTTACATTCTTTTCTTGTTCCTATACTTCGTTTTACCTAAGTATAGACGCAGCCCAATCTCCGAGCTGATGGAACCAATCAGACAACGGCAAAAAAGCACCATGTTCGTCATGTTTCTGTACGTGTTCTTTCATCTCTGAACCAATCATAAAAAAAAAAAAAAAAGAAAAGCCCAGTGTCTCGCGCTTTTGAAGCTGCTTGATTACTCTCATTAGCTCGTAGCGTCCGCTGCGTCTGGACTGAAGCTGAAACAAAGTATAGGCGCCGAGTCATTATTTATTTCACTCATTCCACTTACCTTCAAAATTGTGCCTGTCGTTTCCATATGCACAAATTCCTACTTTAGAAATATCCCAAAGCCCCCGCCGTTTGTCCTTTTGACAAAAAAAATATATGTCGCAATAGAAAAATGCGGCTACCGCCAATTTATCGATAAAAAAAACAAAAAAAAAACGGTAAAGTAACCTGCGTTACTTTGTATCGCTAACGGTAACACGTTCTTTCATTTTCGAGTTAACGTAGGTCGGTAACGCGTACTTTTATTTTGCAACTAAGCAGTAATGTATTTCGTTACCTTTTTTTTCGGTAACGTCTACAACACTGCGCACAACACAATTACTTTCGCTACCTATTATGGCAATATCTCCCTTTCTTTGCACAACAGCCCCCACTTTTCATAGCTGTGACCTTCTCCCTCTGTTCGCGTTCTATGGCTTTTTGTCCAAGTGGAGGAAGTCTTAAATTTTTAATAAGTTAGCAATGGTATATTCTGCGCTATTAAGATACGTCATTAAATCTTGATTATAAAGTACTGTTGTGTTGCTCGTTAAGGATTATTCTCTATCCAGTTGATAGTGTTGTTCTGTTTCACCAACTTAATAGGCAAAACTTTCTTTATTATATTTTTTTTCGCAATAAGAAACATGTCAGTTTTACTTCGCGAAGCGAAATACATTTACCTTACAATCATGTTCAATGACCAGAAGGCAAACCACAAGGATGTGACTTGCTTGAGCTGGTATATTTAATTATATTCCTGGGTAGACGGACACAAATTTTGGTTTATTTTTTAATCGTACAAGGGTATTTAGACAAGTCAAGTTTGTGTTGGACCGGGATAAAACTCGTTCATTTTGGATCTTGAATTCTTGAGGAACATTTGCGAGTTTATCTTAAGTTTTCTTTTTGTATTTTCTGGTGTTCGAAAGTTACAACCTTTGTATTAATCAACAAAAATTAGCGAATCCTTAACAATGTGAGGATTTAAGTTCGGCCTCAGTTGCAGACATTAGTGCCGCGTACGACGAAATATTTTAATGTGCAGTCTTTCTGAAGTAAGCGACAGTTCGAAATAAACACTTCCATCCCGCCTCAGTCACTCACGAACGGCTGTCCCGCAACTTTTAGCCCGACACCTCAACGCTACATATAACTAAGAACAGGAGGAAAAAAGGTTTAAGAAAAGGTGCCACTGAAAGGCATCGCCCGAAGACCGCTTCCGCAATCCCCAACGGACCCTTCTTTCGGTAGAGAAACGGAACCAGGAGATCCCCCCCATCCCTCCTCCTAACACCCCTCCCCCCACCCCAACCCCACCAATAGCAGCCGTTTTATCTTACGGTGGACCGCACAAGACGCTAGGGGGTCATCGAAACCAATCCAATCCAGTATGAGTGTCACGTGACTTTGAGAAGGTGCGCAGCTACGCGTGGACCGCGTACTCACGTGATAAGGTTAGAATCGCTGGGTTGGATGGGATGGTTCGTCGCCTACGCTACGGTTCATCGTGAGGAGAGACGGAGCCCGGAATCAGCGGCACCGGCAGCAGCGGCAGAAGAAACAGCTCGACGGGAGGGAAGAGCCCGGGTGCAGCGGGGTCCCTCTTTTGTGACCCCCGTCCCCAAGCCCGGCGAAACTCATTGATTGCGTCCGCGAAAAGCGTCCCTCCGGTTTCGCCGTACCGTACCGTCAGAAAGGGACTCTGTCGCCTTGTAAATAGAAGCGTGCGGGAAGGAAGGCGCAGAAACGAACGCGGAGCCGATGAGTGAGGCGTGAACAGTTGCCCCGTCGGCCCGAGGTTTCCGTGTTGGCGAAGAAAGGCGTCTTTGATTCCCGGGGCTTGCATGGTGCGATAGGAAGCGCCTTCTCGAGTCTGTTTTTGTTTAGACTGTCCCGAAGGGGAGCGGACGCACGTATAAGCCATGGCGTTTGGTGGGAGGCGTTCCAGACGTGGACGAAGTTTGTCGGGTTAAGACGGCAGAGGTTTGGTTTTCTAGGGATGTCGTTACTGTTTTTACTTCATTTTGTTTTCTTCCGCGCGTGTCTGTATGGAGAGGCCCACGTGGGAGTCCGTTTGCATCTTGTGGTCTTGGCGTGTGGCTATTTTTGTTTACGTTGCTGATTGTTTTTGTGGGGCGTTGTTGTCTGTTTTGCTCTCTTTGACGGCTGTTTGCTTCGTTAGTGGTACTAGGAGTCTTATTGCCTCTTTGTGGCTGCCGCTGATTCGCCCCTCATTGACTACAATGCGTCCTTGCCTGGGTGTGTTGCGATTCAAATGCTGCTCATGATGTCTTTTAGCACAGTCTTGTTTCATTCAGAAAAGTGGTCGGTGTCATTCCGCGGAGGAGAGATACCACTCATTGAACTTGCTTCTAGCATTTCTGGTTCGAAGAATTTTTTTTCTTTTGTGATACCACATGACGAGCGATGTAGAAATATTAAGGAACAGATAATATATATTTTTGTTTTTGTCAAAAAAAAAAAAAACACTTTTTACTTGAATCTTACATATCACCGCATATTTCCGTCTGAAGTTCTCTTTTCCTGTATCATCTTACCGATAATACCAAAATTACGGTCAGAAATAGGTGAGAGCTAATTAAGAAGGGCATCGTCGCATTTATTCGGTGCACAAAAGTAAACTTTTCGGAAATGTTTTTTTTTTTTTATTTTGTTATACAATAGCTGTAAAAGTACCCACGTCTCGAAAAGCATAATCACAAACACTGACGACCGCTTGGTTGCTCTACATACCAACTAGTGAAAAGCATTATGACTTACAGTAAACATTCAGTTGGCTGCCTACTGTAAAACGAAGTGAAAGTTCATATTTATGGATCCTAAAATCTCCCCTATTTTGGAAGCTTAAGTAAAATCCTACGTAAAGACCACTGCTGCCGGCCGCTTACATTCGGCACTGGGCTAATTTCGTATTGGCGAGAACCCCATGCATTATTTTCGTTTGCTGATTCCTACGACCTCCCTAATGTCTGCACCATGCCTATGCTTCGCTCGACTCTGTTTTGGTATCTTCTATAGAGAATTTGTCATTCCCTAGATTTTTTTGCGTTTGAGTCAAAACTGTGAAGACCCATGAGTTCGAATATTTCCGAACGCCCAGATATTTCGGTACGTCTCGATAAGGTGAATTTATTCTGCTGACCAGTGATCGCAGTCTCAGCAGTGTTTGGCTAAACGACTTTCCTCACATTCAATCCCGTCTGGGTTTTATAAAACGTAGACTGAGTCAGCACTGCCTAGATAACAAGGCCAATGCCGCCTAAAAGACAACCTAAACAACCACCAAGAAGGAAAGGAATATGACGTTTAGGGAAGGGGGGGGGGGGGAGGGGGGGGGGAGGGGGGGGGGGAAGGCGCAAGCCTTGTCATCTAGATGGTAATGGCTGGTCTCCGGTAAGTGACATAATAATTAGAGCACCAAGGCTCTGCTTTCTAGGATAATGTGGCCGAGTTCACCATCGGCTGAAAGGGAGTGCGGTGAGCTCGTCCATAGCCTCCTATATACTGACTATAAACCTGGCAGATCGCCACGAGAAGCGGCCGCCGAAATGGAAAAGGTGGAGTGGCAGACAACGGATGAGAGGAGAGCCACGTGACTGGCGCCCCGCTGCGGCGAGACGCCGAAACACACTTCTCCCGTTCGAACGAGTGTGTTGCGGGTCCTCGCCGCTGCAAAAGCTGTGCGCCGACGTCCAGGTTTTCCGAGAAATGGCTCTTTGGTGCTCTGTGCTACCAGATCCTCGCGCTAAAATCTGAGGCCGGGCACTTTATGGCTCCGTTGTCGAATTGACAGGCTTCGTTAGTATAGAGGCTATGGCACCACCAATCCTAAGAGCACCACCTAGTCTCACGAGCTGGCACATTTCTGTTCCTTAGTGGTCGACGACCGTGACCTGCTCAAGCCACCTTCAAGCGACGTTGTCCCGGGTCCCCGTCAGACAGATAAGGGCCAGGGCCGATGGGCCATCCAGCATTTTCAAGACGGCAGCCACGAAAAAAAGGAGTCTTCCAGAGGACGTGCCGGTGAGGACATAGAGTTATTATAATGTACGCTAGAGGTTCAACTGGCGCTAGTGTCTATGCGACTTCCGGGAGGCAAATTGAAGCAGACAGCAACCAGTCTACTTTTGCGGTGCTCCCGTGCATTCCTATGGGAAAACGCGCGTGAAATTTGTCTCTTCGCCGGAAAATAACATGAATAACTTTTATTATTTCGGTTGTACTGGATAGTATGCACATTTATTAATAATGTAAAAGTATAATTGCTTTAATTACAGCATTTTTCTTTACCACTGAGCGATGTTAAGCTTCGCTATATTTCAGGCCCAAACCTATGTTCCATGGCAGGTATGTAAAAACGAGCGACGATTTTAAGCAAACTAACGATCGAAAAGAATGTAGAGTGTGTTCAAGGTTCGCTAGCATTGCGGTGGCGCTTATATATATTGCTAATATGCCCGTTCTGTCATTCTATGAAAATGACTCCGTCGTGCATCTTTGCGATCGTTTAAAAAACATTTGAATGTAAGAAATAAAGTGCGTAGACTACGAAAGGTGCGCCTTTTTATTATTTCCTATGTCGGGCAGTTCTTATCGGGCACCTGTTCTCTGACTTCTCCCTATTTGAAAAGATTTGGAGCGTGCGGTTGATGATTTGAACCGAGAACATGCATCTTAGCACATATTCATGAGCAGAAAGAATAAAGCAGTACTTATTTATTGCAGATCGGATTATATTACGTGGCTTTCAATTTATTTTGATCGCCTGCATGCACAAGGAGTTACTTATCCAGTGTTAATGCGTAGTTTTTGCCGTCTCTCTTGGTTTTCCACATGTCCTTCGTTCGCTTGACACGTATATCCCCCATCGTGGAAAGCGCCGATGCCGTGTTCGCGCTAACAGTGTCCGACAGTGCACATAAATACATGTACGAAGCGGTTTTAGCACCGTTTTTCATGCTACGAATTTCAAAGAAAAACGCCGTAACTGACCAATTATTTCGTCTGAGTGACTGAGAAATGTTCCAATGTGCCAGTACGTACGAAATATTCGTGATATTTGCTCTTATAATCGAGCGCAGCGAGAAAATGTACTCGCTTTTCCCCATAGAAATGCATTACCGGAAGTCAATTTCCGACTGGTTGCTGTCTGCTTCAATTTGCAGCAGCACACTAGCGCCACTTGAACCTCTAGCGTACATTATAATAACTCTATGGGTGAGGACTGGCCGTCATCGGCGCTTTCATACAAGTTGCTTCAATCGCGTGGCGGCCTTCTGCAATGAAATACTAGCGGAACAACCGGAACTTTGTTAAATTCCGGTTTGGCTTCGGACAATAGATGGTCTAATTATTTCTGGACAAAACGGAAGTATGTTTGTAAAGGCGATTCACTTAAAGTAACAAAACGCAATGTGCAGTCGTAATCGAGACACACCCATCAAGTCGAGAGAGAAAGAAAAGTTCTCTTGGTTTTGCGGGGGCGTAAACATTTTCTGTAACGCAAGCCATTGTATCAACTTGAGTTCGACGTATCTCGCGGTTGCTTCCCTTTTTTATTGTTGAAAAGTTATATACCTTTCGTGGTGCTTCTACGACATGTTTTTGTTTGTTTTTTCACGCAGGAAACAGTGGATTTTGCCCATCGCCCACCAAGAACGCGTGTCTGTGGCAGCTAGCGGCTGTCCTCTTCTTCCTGTGGCGGGTCTTCTAGGCCACGGCCAGACTGCTTCCAAGACAAACATCCAGACGCCATCTCGAGCAACGGCGTGACAACCTCGCATGGATGACGTGTGCATGTCCACAGGCTTCCAAAGAACTCCAAACTAACCTCCAAAAAGTCGTGAATTTCTTCGCGACTGTCAAGAACAATATGACGTACCAGGACATCCTACAGTAACACCAATGATTGCAACGTTTGTTTTTTAAAATATTTCTTTGTTTCTTGGATGGTTACATTTGCTTCATCACATAGTGATCTAACGACGAGAAGAGTAAAAAGGTAAACGTGTCTTCGGAAAGGAGGACTGACTAAACGTTTCATACAACAGAATACCTCGGTGCTAAGACCCGTGATATCTCGAGTTTACCGAATCGAAAACCGGATTGATTATTACAAACCATTACACAATTTTGTAGACTGTCGAAAATCGTTCACTAACATAGATTTCTTCTGCACTGCTCTCGAAGTCAGTGACTCCAAACAAAACATAACCATTAGGACATTCTTGTCTTTCTACCGCGGAGGTATGTTTCGCCACGTTTTATAAAAAACAAACATACGAAAAATGCACACCATGTTGTACCAATATTCTTGCAACCTGTTTGAACTTTTGAACACTAACACTGAATAGATGAGATGAAGACGCTTCACGTCCGATTGACGCATTCGTTGATGACACGGGATGAAGGAATGGGGTATTGCATAGCGCGAGAGATTGGAACATGCCGCTCTTGTACATACTGATCTTCTTGTTATTGTTCATGAAAGTAGTAGATATGCTATCTCGATACACCAGCCGAAACTTTAGGTTCTCGCGTGTTCACGGCTGATTTTTTTATGGATACAAACAGCAACAAAGTATACGATGAAGAAGTAATTTGTTACAAGAGTAGTGTTGCGGGCCTCTTCATAGTAACGCCAAACTTTTAGGTATATTAAAGCTAAGTTAGAGCGCAAAGGTGAAACAAATTTATAAATAAACTCGAATGTTTTCTGCAGAACAAGCAGTCACGAAGTACCGACAGAGTCTAGTTCATTATTTACGCAACGCAACCTAAGAAAAGAAGAAAATCGAAGGGATTTTTTTATTTAGTTAGTCGTGTGGTCAACCAATAGTGTGCTCAATGAATAATGTATTTCTCAAAAAAAAAAAAAAAAGAAAACGAAAATTGAATATTCTAATTTGAGGAAACATCTACGGCTAGTTTATTTTTGTCGTGCGTTGCGCTATTACGAATAATGTATCTAGGGTTCATGACGGCACAGTACATGACAGCTACATGTATTCTGAATAATATTTTGTAGCATCTCCATGATTTCCAATACTAGGACGTTCGCGCTCGCGTTACATATCCCCAGAAAGGTTTTACGAACACGGTTCATGAAGGGGTTCGATTAGTTGTTAGAGCTTTCGACGAAGGAAACAAACACACGTTCACGAATAAATCGAGTTATTTCTTCACTATTCGTCTTTCTTGGTGCATGTCCTTAGAAATTTTCCTTTACATATCGCTTTTTCTGTTCCCCATCTTAGGATCTACAATATGTTGATTCATTACCAGCTCGCCTGCACTCTATCACTGCTTTCGATAGTTACTTGAGACCTTAATAAACGCAGGGCGTTGCCTACAGCGTTGACGCTTCTTGAATCGTGATTCGATTTTTTTCGTTCTTATCAGCTGCGAAGTAATAAGATGCACGGGACCTATCACATCCTGCGTCTGTTAAGGTGTCAATGGCTATAGAGCTTGAGCAATGATGCGCAGTGATGCACAGTGCGGAGGGCCGCCATCTTGTCGAATAATGTTTATACTATACTCAGTCACACGACGAGACGTACCAAACCTCCGGATTATGTTCCTGGGTCGCGGTCAGACCGGAGGCCGAGCGTTTTTAATCCCCCGACCACGGTGGTGTACGGTATATATGAATGTGGAGATCGCGCTCGTCGAAGCTGCCAGATAAAGTCCCCGCTCCTCGTCTTAGTTGCAAGTGGCGCCACCAGATGTCTCCTCGACATGCGGCAGAAAGCAAACTTTCTGCAGCGACAAAGAGTTGGAAATAGTTGCGGAAAGACTAGAGGAAGCGGTTTCAAGGAAAGGGCATACAGATTGGACCTATGAAAGCCTAACTAGGCTTTTTGCTCTGGAACTAGATGAAGTTCAGAGTAAACGAAAGGGGAAACAAGGACATAGACTAAAAAGCTGGTGGGACAAAGAAGTGAAGCAAGCGATACAAAAACGTCAGGAAGCCTCTAGAGAACACAGGTATTCCAAGCGTAGTGGGGATTCAGAAATCAAAGTAAAAAGAAAATGGGACACTTTTATGACATGTCGCCGAAAGGCACCCAGTTTGATCAATGCGAAAATTCAGAGAAAAGGTGAGGAATGGATGAGTAATGTAAGCAAGAAAGATAGAAACGCAGCCAAGAAGTTTTGGGAGCACTTGAACTCACTCGGTTAAACGACGCAAGCTAGACAGAGGTTCATACTATCGCATCAGGGAGATCAACTAGAGGGAGATGATGTGATACGACATATAGCAGCAGTGATGGAGGAAAAATTTCGGGAACGGGTACACGTGGAAAATAGGAGAACCGAAGGAAGTAGCAGTCCAGCTTGTGACTTCGCGGATTTTGGACAAAGAGAAGGTGAAAAGGCGGAACGAAGAGTCCCTCGTGACACGTCGACAGGCACAGATGGTTTTCCAATCAAGCTGGTGAAGAATTTGGGTCCTAAACCTAAGGCAAAAATAAGGGTGGTAGTGAGCACTACGATAACTAAAGGAAATATTCCAGATGAATGAATAGGATGGATGAGTAGGATGAGTATGATATATAAGGAAAAGAGAGATAAGTCTCGTATTAAGAGTTATCGTCCCTTAACCGTGACACCAGTTATTTACAGGTTGTTAATGCAGATTATAAAGAACAGACTGGAGGAATGGGTAGATTGCGAGGGTATACTGGTCGAGTTACAGAACGGGTTTCGGAAACAAAGAAGGTGGAGGTTAATATCTTTTCCCTAACACAGTGTATAGAAATAGTGCAAAAACAAGAAACAGACAACTCTGGTTGGCATTTCTGGATATCAAGGGTGCCTATGACATTGTGAACCAAAGGAACCTGTGGGACATAGTGGAGAGCTTAAACCTAGATAAAGGACTAACAGCCATATTAAGGAACATTTACAAAGATAATAAGGTGATTGTAACATGGGAAGGAAAGACAATGAGGAAAATAGAGATAAGACGAGGCCTAAGGCATGGTGCCCGTTATCGCCTTTTCTGTCTATGTTGCATTTGAGAGGATTGGAGCATAAACTA